TGCCTTCATAAATTCAAATATATTTTATGGAAAACATGCACGAAAAAATTATATATTGCATTCGTTTGATAGCAAATTACGCCTTCCTTAAATTGTATACTTGGAGAAAGGGTATCTTTCGGCTTAAATAAGTTTGTCTAATTATGAGCTTCTTTACAATTTTCAGGTGTCTATTCATGGAACGTTGTATCCGTCAATTTGTTAATTCTGCCTTCACTGTGTAAGGCATGCTCCATTTCCATTGCAATATTTTTTGAGAACTATGTGAGATCTTCCTCAAGCTGTAGGCAAAAATGTACTTTTCATTAAACAGGATGCACACAGTGCGCAGGTTTGTAAACCTTGAATTCCAGTGTAGCAGTCACTAGGTTTCAAAATAATTCGACAATTAAGAAACATTTTTTAAACCGAAAGATACCCTTTCTTCAAGTATAAAATTTAAAGAAGGCGTAATTTGCGACCAAATAAGTACAAGAAATAATTTTTTCGTACATTTTTTCCAAAAATATATTTGAATCTATAAAGGCAGTCAAAATCAATGACAAAAAGGCATGCTACTTAAGTAGTTACTTTTTTGTGGTACATTCTTTTCTTGGTGCTCATAAAGAAGCTTTTTAAGAAGCTGGCATCCTGAAGTGTCTGAAATATGTTGAGATTAGGCTGTACGATCGTCTTTGTTATAAGCATCCGCAATTAATATGTTTCAATTAAAAACTCATTTCAGAATTCCAGGTGACGTTTCATGAGATAGAGAACCTACTGTACGTGTGGGCGGACACCGTGCCAGGTGTCCGGTCTTCTTGACTCTTTCTTGACACTGGGCACAGATGGGTGAGGGAAGACTGGGTGCCGTAGATGCGGCGCAAGTCTACTCTTACTTAAATATACTTCACGCGCAAGTCAATGTCTCCGTGCCACCATCCTGTAAAGCACATGGTGGATTTCATCGGATACGAAGGTCAGACTGCCGTATCAGAGGGACAGTCGTCGATGTAGCCGGACTAGAGGACGGAGTACAGGCGTTCCGTTTTGGTGTTGAACGCTGATCTAGAGCTCCCGGAGCTTCTTACTTGTTGATTGTTCATCGCCTTACAGAGCCCTGGACCTGAGCTCCAACGAAAACCAGAACCGTCTTGTTTCCTCCAATAATCAGCTCAAGTCGATGGGCTGAAGCGTTCCGACCAAAGGTAACTTGGCGTGATCTCAGGACTTTTAGAATTTTATGCTTTTTGGATGAGTCTATCGTGCATGTCATCCTAAAAATACCCTATATGCTGATGTAGTTCACCTTTTATTCCTCGCACCAACCCTCCTTTCACGACGCTGGCGTAATCCACTGAGTAGAAGGAAACCTGGTGCGCTGGGCCGTGCAATGTTATTTCGTAGTTGGACTAAGTAATATTAATGTATTCTCTGAGAGTTACTGTGTAGCAGCAATGTTACTGCCGTAAACGAAACTTTTAGACAATCCTTCCGTTTTTAACATCACTACCCTTGTCAAGGACAGCTTACGCAAACAAACTTGATAGTACACAGTAGGAGTGGCAAGGTCTCTATTTCAACTCTGTCCAAGGTCAGAGTCATAGTTTACAAAATATATGCTAAGAATGAGGATAGCAGCAAGGAAGAACAACACAGTGGCTAAACAAAAAGCGGATCAGAGAAGAATGAGAGAAAGTCTTCGAAGGAGAGGCCGGCATCGGGTGAGAATTGGTGCAGTTCCAGAAGAGCACGAAGAAGGGCCTCGTTTAACGGATTTCCTAACGCTATTAGAATGGCCTGCAGTTCAGCCAGATCAAGTCTCCCGTCGTTATTTATGTCAAGAGTTGAAAAAACGCGGCGAAACCTCCCTGTACTGAAAATAAAACAAAAAGGGGAAAACTGTTTACTCACAGCAAATCAAGTTCTACTTTCATCTGCGGCAGACATGAAATAGCTGCGCGTTAAGTTTGTGATAGTATTCGGTCTGATTAATAAACTGACCAGTTTCTTTCTTGAGGTATACAGTTTAAGTTGGCAAATCCTAAGAGTCGTTGCCTTTCCCCGTGGTCATAAAGCTTCACAGCGACAGAAGACGAGGTACGTATGCATTTGGCCGCGATTTCCTTCTTTCTGAATCTAATTATCGCAGCTTATTGGCCAAAGAGGTGTGCTAGAATTACAACAGGATTATTAAAACGAAAGTTGGAAATGGCAAAACTTTAACAGCTTTTAATGCTGCGACCAGATCAGCTACTTTCTCTTTGCACCATGTTGTTCTTCGTTTTTTTGACATGTTGAAATTTTAGGCGCCTGAAAACTAGTGTTCAGCAAAGGTGCCAAATTCTACATAGGAAAACAGCTTTTCTGTCTTTCCTTGCGTCCTCCGGCTGAACTCTCCACGGACAGTTGAATAGATATCAACGATTATTAACTGGAATATTGGCGTGTAGTGTACTGCCAACACCAACCTTCTTTGGTCAACATTCAAACGCATATACATGTACCCTTCCACATTGGCATCCTTCGCGCGCTACCGCTAATATCCACAGACTCGTTGTCTTGACAGTGTGACCAATTATCTCACCCAACTGCAAAATAGCTACATGCGGACACTTTAGGATGTCAAGGGGTTTATGTCTCTTATGTCTAATGTATAATATTACTACTAATACTTGTAATAATTGTAGTAAATGCCAGTTTGTTGACATTGTCAAAATAAATATGCTGTTTGCTTGCAGCTAGAAGTGAGAAAAAATCCTAACGCCTAAATAGAGTTACAGTTGAACCTCGGTTTATGAGTTTAATCCATTCCGACCCCGGGCTCGTCATCTGAAACGTTCGTCCAGCGAAACGTAGTCAATCAAGCTGTATCAGTTCACTGATTGGCTGCAGATGACTGAGGATCAACGTCCTGGGGGCAAGACTCAGTGGTGAACAAAGGCGCAGACACAAACACGCCCAGACAAGTCGTTAACGGAGCGGAAGCTCGTCAGTCGAAACAAATTTTCTGTGCGTGGCTCGCTTGTTACCAGAAATGCTGGTAACTGGAGCTGCCCGTCATCCGAGGCTCCATTGTAGTCGTTTTTTAGGGTAAATTGGAGGTATGCAGGTGAAAAAACCGCAGCCTGAGAAATGCCACGACTATTTTGGCCGCCGATCGGAAATACTCTCTTAAGGTCAAACGTAAAATTTTTTGTACATACCCTGGCCTCCACCTTTGACAGCAGCTGAGATTTCCAAACTTAATAAAATCCCGGCAAAAGTAGTTATGTAGGATCACTCATGTCCCCCTAGTCCCAGCATTTTGTCCTGCAGAAACGCAGGTTATGGAGTTTAATGGAGTGGAGAAAGAGGATAGGCAGAAAATTAAAAGTTTTAGAAATAAGTGCAAAGTGCAAAAAATGTAGCCGAAGTTGCTTCCCGCGACCGCTGGGAGTAATTTGTTCCGCATGTAAATTGAAGGTGTGCGCGGTGCTTCGCGCCGCGGACTATACCAACCTAACTCCAGAACGGTAAGTTGGACCTCAGGTAAGTTGAAGTAGACGACCTCGCGCGGGCTTCGTGCCGCGGACTATACTAATCTAAATCCAGAACGGTAAGTTGGGCCTCAGGTAAGTTGAAGTAGACGACCTCCTAACTACCAGTTCAATTCTTCGGGAAATGCAGGAAACCTGCAATCTGATAATCGGCTTTTTCCGCAATAAGTTAAACGATAAAACAGATTAGGAAAATCCACAGATATCAATCAACAACACTTCTAATTACATTAAAATAAAAATGCATTTAGCATTTATTAAGATATATTTCACTGCGTGCCCTAAGTTCCCACCCATAAAACCATATAACCACCCTTTTCGTAGGAAAACATGCAGGGAGTAGGGATTGATGAGTGGGCCCATATAAGCTACTGTTGCCAAATTCCCTGTTCCTATGTTTTGTGATTTCTGCTGCTGTTTGACACTGTTCGGATTGTAATGGTTGACCTACGGATGGCACCTATCTTAGCAACCGCGAGTGGGCAAGCACGGGGAAAATTTGAATAGTCTGTAATAATCTGCTTATCATCGTCAGCCAATGTCAGGTCGTAGGGTCTGGAAATAAAAGCTGTTTCAGCAGTTGTGGTGCTCAACAGCGTGGAAGTAAAGCAGGTGCACACACTCACCCAGGTGTGTTCGTTAGTATTCAACCTCAATGAGTTCGCCTCGTTGGCAAATGAACCTCAGACAGTAGCGACATAAAGGTATACGAATCTGGTGTTTCCAACTTAGATGTGTGGTATGTTATGAGGAGCCTAATGAACAGCTAGCAGGTAGCTAGCGTACGTGTAGCGAGCCGCGCTCACGACAAGCTATCCATCGGCCTACACGCGCTGAACGCATACTGGCAGTCAAACAGTTGATAATTTGAAATTAAAGCTGCAGCCAGCCGTTGAGTCATAAGCCAATCGTGTCGCTACCCATGCCAGAACAGAAGCTGACTGGCCCGATGGACATAGTTTTATACGCGTTCGTTCCCCTAAATATGTTGTACCAATTACGCTCAAAGACTTCTACTTTTGCGCTCTTCTTGTCGTGTTCTTCCTTTGGGGACTCACACAAGACGTAATTAGGCGGTGAAGTCTTGGCTTTTGCTGCTGTTACAACATAGTACAGTTAACCGAAGGCGGGATAGCGGCCTAAACCAGCTCTGTCATCAAAGTATCCAAATAAGTTTGAAATCATCGCTACTTTTTGTTATCTGACTGGGGCTTTTTCGACCCTGTTGGTGATGTGCTTACCAAGGAATCTAGACTGAGCCCTTGGATTATAACTGAAGTTAGACCAGGTGAAGGATTATTCGCGAGTCTGCATCTTCCGTAGGTTGTGCGGTTTTACAAGCTAAACCAAACACTTAATTTCTCCGCATTGACTTATTTGGAGAAAGAGTTAGGAGTGTGGCTGCCCAAAAGCCGCAGTCATAAGCAATAAATAATGCAGCCGGGCGTCAGACCTCATATATACGCATCTCATTACGAAAGGAAAATATATTTAACGAAAAGCAGTCAGCAGACCGAGTTCAAGCCGTAAAAGGATATTTATATGGAAGTTGCTTCGATACCAACAGCACAACGCTATTAACGGTGTATCTGCGGGATGCCCGCAACTCTGAGACTGAAACTAATTCACCAGGTCAGACAACGAAAAGGTTTATACTGATGAAGTAGATCCGATAAAGCAAAGGGAGACCCCAATGGCCATTTCTGGCTTGTTAGCCGTCATCAGCCAGTCATACCCAATCAAAGGGGTCGGAACCCCCGAGATTCGAACCTGTCCTGCGATCATATCCTCTGTGCTGTGTATGCCCGCCCGTAGTGTCGGGACATGATGACAGGATGCGCGCCTCAGGCACCGATGAAGGTCACGGACACGTGTTCACGCCTTTCACTGTCCTGACTGGCCTGCGCGTTCACACCTCTCTTTGTTCTAGCTGGCTACCTTTCAGCCTCTTACGTATAAGTCACGTCATAAAGCCCTCTTGGTTAACATGACTCGTCACATGAACTGTGCCCGCGTCCTCAGTACACGTCCTGCCTACAGAGAGTCCTCTGTTTTGCCTACATGA